TTACGTTCCCAATTCCGGGCGGGGATTGGTTCGTTTAGAATATCGACAACGATGGGACGCCGCTTTCCGAGCTTACCTCACCCGATTGGACGCCCGCAAACCCGTCGCGCTCTGCGGTGACCTCAACGTCGCCCACGCCGAAATCGACCTTCGTAACCCCCGAGCCAATCGGCGCTCGGCCGGCTTTACCCTCGAAGAACGAGAAGGTTTCGGGGCGTTGTTAGAAGCCGGATTTTTGGATTCTTTCCGCCATCTTTATCCCAGCATTCCTCACGCTTACACTTTTTGGACTTACTTGGGCGGGGCCCGCGACCGTAACGTCGGTTGGCGCCTCGATTATTTCGTCATCTCCCGCCGTTTGGAAGGAGCCCTTTGCGATAGCAAGATCCGATCCCGCGTTCTGGGCAGCGACCATTGTCCAATCACCCTCTACCTCGCCCTCTAGGCGTGCCGCCCCGCCCGTAAGTTCCTCGCGAGCTCGAACCGACCCTCGAACTGACCCAAAATTGGGGGTTGGTGATGTCATCGTCATCCATAATGGGGTCGGGATGGGCTCGTCAACCTTTACTCGGCCATAATTCCATCCTAAACGCCCCTAAATTGGGTGTTGGTGATGTCATCGTGGCCTAGATGGCGTCACGGTGGCCCCGTCAACCTCTCCTTGTCCATAAATTTACCCTAAATGCTCATAAATGAGCTTTAGATGATGTCATCAGGGCCTATATGCCATCTTGGTGGCCCCATCAAACTTTACTTGGCCGTAAATTTACCCTAAATGCCCATAAATGAGGTTTAGATGATGTCATCGTGGCCTATGTGGTGGCGTGGTGACCCCACCAACCTCTGCTTGGCCATAATTCCACCCTAAAGGCTCCTAAATCGGGTGTTGGTGATGTCATCATGGCCTATATGACATCACAGTGGCCCCGTCAACCTCTACTTGGCTGTAAATTTACCCTGAACACCCACGGATTAGGTTTAGATGATGTCATCGTGGCCAATATGGCGTCATGGTGGCCCCACCAACATCTACTTGACTGTAATTCCACCCTAAATGCCCCTCCATCAAGTTCTGATGATGTCATCATGGCCTATACGGCATCATGGTGGCCCCACCAACCTCTACTTGCCCATAAATTTACCCTAAGCCTCCTCAAATCAGATTTAGATGATGTCATCATGGCCTGTATGGTGTCGTGATGACCCCGTCAACCTTTACCTGGCCATAAATCCACTCTCGACACCTGTAAATGAGGTTTAGGTGATGTCACCATGGTCTATATGAGCTCGTGATGGTTTCATCAACCTTTACTTGGCCATAAATTTCCCCTCGATGCCCACAGATTCGGTTTCGATGATGTCATCGTGGCCTGGATAGGGTCATGGTGGTCCCATCAACCTCTACTTGGTCGTATTTCCACCCTGGATGCCCAGGAATGAGGGGGAGATGATGTCATCGTGACCTGTACGGACTCATGATGATCTCAGCAACCTCGCCTTGGCCCAAAACTCCTCCCCTCCCGGCCCAGCGATCAGGTGATGACATCATTGTGGCCCCCCCAGGGGGCGGCGATGATCTCATCAGCCTCGCCTGGTCACTCCAGGTCTCCTACTGCCCCACAGGTCACCATCGTGGCTTCTTATAGGTTCCTGCTGGCCCCGCCCACCCCCC